TTTTATACTTCTTAAATCGGGTTAACTATCTGAATAAATTTGAACTCGGGAGGGAAATATTGGGAATTTATGTAGTGTATGTTGGCAGTATGTCAGCGTTTGCGAAAGATAAGGCAGGCACGAATATTTACTTTCTTATCAATATCCGCCTGACGTGTTTTGTTCTATCCAAAGTTACTTTTCTTTGTGGAACTGCAGTTCCACGTGAATGAATTTCTCAAAACATAAACATTTGAAAAATAAAGTAAAATTATTGCTGATGAATGATAAATCTAGAAATATGTTAAATAGCAAACAAACAATATTGTTGCTGATTGTTTAGAATGTATTATATTTTGTTTTTTAGCGAATTTCCCTATAGGGAAGTAGCTATTACCGTAGGTCTCATGGTAAGACTTAGGCCCGGGACCGATTTACTTTTTCATTTTAATGTCCCCAGAGGCCAAAAACACCATTCGTTCAAATTTTTATATATGTATATATATATATATATATAGGTATATATATATATAGATTTATATATATATATATGTGTCCGTGAACACGATAACTTGAGTAATTTTTATCAGATTTGGATGAAATTTGGTTTGAAGGTGTAAGGCGGGATAAACTTGAATGAGTTCGCGATCCAGCATGATCGGTCCATGGGAACAGGGTTTTATGGGGGGTTTTATGGGGTAAAAATTGGGTTTTCTCACTTTTTACCCTCAAAACACAAAATTTCCCAATTTTTCTCTAAACCTTCTTAAAGAGCTTAAAAAAAACAAACAATTCAGTATATCAAAGTGTTTTTGTATGGTTATTGGTTACGGAGAAAACTAAAAAAATTGCAAATTTAAAATTCCCATGTTATTCTTATGGAGAATATTGTAAAATGTTGTAGTTTGCTTGTTTATGGATATATTTTGATCAAACTTGGCGAATTTATTTATTTTATAGTAAGCTATCAATATTTTACTAAAAACACACTACTTTATTAGTTTCCTTGTAGCAGCAAACCTAGGTACTCGTTAAACCTAATGTTATTTAAATAGATCAATTGAAAATCAATTCGGCCGAATGGAAATTCGCTTAGACGGCAGGTTTGCTGCGGCGGGGGTATTATTTACCACAATTATAATCTTATAGTCTAGAATATAGTATCTAATTGTTCGTCATCCTACTTCAGCTGAAGACAATGTTAGGGTACGTTTCAGTCTTGTGTCTAAAATTATAATTTATTTTTGTTCAGTAACCCCATTTTCAAAGTTGCATAGTTTACTGCAATGATATCACAGTTTGTTTGATGAATTCCTTTTCCAACATTATGTCGTATAGTGGCTTCTTTTAAATGCGTCGGTTGTAGTGTGTTTTGATACATGAACGCAGTTCGCACTCATAGGCTAATATTTACTGATACTTTAAATGACTGAAATTAAATATTTGTTATCCGTTTTATAAGGAACTATTAATCACGAGAGGTTGGTAGTATTTATCCCAAATTGCTCATTTCGTAGCGATGTTTTGCCTTCCAGAGATAATATTTATGTGAAATTCCAGAGTTATTAGGTGAAAAATACACAAATTTACAACAATATATAAAATTGTTGGTTGTAACCCAATCAGGTTGCAATTATCACTAATCTTAGGCTATTTAAAATGTATTTGACTTAGCTTTTTCGTCATACTTCAGCTAAAACAGCGGTTTTTAATACATGCGTTACGGGTCTAAAGCTGTATTTTTACTCCCTGGAGTAAAAAAATTTTGTAGACCCTAGGGAATAAAAAACTTTTTTAGTCCCTAGGGAATAAAAGTCAGCTGTGTAAACAGTTGTAAATTTCAATTGTAAGCAATCGCATTGATGGAAATAATTTATCGATTGATTTGTTAAGTTAGTTTCGGCGTATGGTTACATTATTTTCAATAGTTTGACATGTCTATGGTATAATGTACTGTAACCAATCGTAATAGACTAAATGATTGAATCACTCACGAAACATCTGCTTATTTACATTAGCGGAAACGAAACAATTTTGATGTAGTTTTTAGAGGTTATCTTTACATTAAAAGAATTTTTGTTTTCTAGCATAGTTTGTTAATTGATGACGCAATATAACGAAAAATATAGTTTATCACGGGAAAGGTGTCCTTTCAACCCTCTCTCATTTTTGGAGCTCAGGTCGAAAAGAGCCACTTTACGCCCTAGTAATAAAATATACTATTTCGTTTCATGTTTACTATGTAGCATATACCACTGTTACTATAACTAATAATAAAACTACTATACTAATTCTATGACAAACGGTATCAGCAATCTGACATACACTTTCTCCCATAAGCTTGTCAACAACCTTTACCATGGGTAAGTGGCGGGGGTAGCTATGATATTTTTTAGAGAAGAATAACCTTTACCTTGCTATAACTTTTGAACCGGAATTGTTACAGCAATGTGGGGTTGCACTCTTTTGTTTAGAATTATAAAGACCATAACACATTAATTTAAGTAAAACCCGAGGTTTTTCCTAAAATCTGATTTGTGTTATTTTAATGGAGAAATAACCTAGGTTAACCTACAATATTTTTTGAGCCGTAATTTTAACGGAAATGGGATTTGTACCATTTTGTTCAAAATTTAAAGGACTATAACACTAAATTTTATGAAAATCGTTAAAACCATTTCCGGGAAAAATCTACTCTTCAGTTATTTTATTGGAAAATCACCAAAAAGCCAAATTTGAAAAACACACAGTCATCACTTCCAAAACCACTTTTTTGGGTTTAGAGGGACGCAAAACGAACATATCCACTCAAAACTCAAACTCGAAAATTTTGACGAAAATAATACTTTCTCCATATAGGCTACTATGTGTGGAGGGAGAAAGTAAAATGTTAAAACAATACCTAAATACTCTAAAATATTACTGTTTCACTACAGGGTTTATAAAAGTCATGCGAAGCCAAATGTGTTTTGTTTTTCTTTTTTCGAGGAATGTCATTTAAACCAACGCTGAATGTGTCCCTGTCAATACACTACCGATTGTACCGAATACAAAGTTAACATTCGTTGAAAGCTAAATCCAATAGAAGATTTGTATGATTGCAATTTGTCGTGTTTTCTGCCGGCTATGCAAATATAAATCCGTAATGCGAACAATCTTTCGATTTAAACAATATATCTAACCTATCTAACCTTATAAGTTACTGTATAATACCTTAGACGTTGTAAATGTTACCCTTAACTAATTATATGTATTGGTTTAATATATTATCGTCATATACTATAGGAAAACGGCAGTTTTTAATACATGCGTTGCGAGTCTAAAGTAACTTTTTTTCTCCCTGGGTCTTTTAGGTCAATTGGGGGTAAACGCCTTTTTAGCCCCTGGGGAGCAAAAGCCTTTTTAGTCCTCGGGGAGTAAAAGCCTTTTTAGTCCCTGAGGAGTAAAAGCCTTTTTAGTCCCTGAGGAGTAAAAGCCTTTTTAGTCCCTGAGGAGTAAAAGCCTTTTTAGTCCCCGGCGTCCCCGGGGAGCAAAAGCCTTTTAGGTCAATTGGGGGTAAAAGCCTTTTTAGTCCCTGGGGAACAAAAGCCTTTTTAGTCCTCGGGGAGTAAAAGCCTTTTTAGTCCCCGGGGAGTAAAAGCCTTTTTAGTCCCCGGGGAGTAAAAGCCTTTTTAGTCCCCGGGGAGCAAAAGCCTTTTAGGTCAATTGGGGGTAAAAGCCTTTTTAGTCCCTGGGGAGCAAAAGCCTTTTTAGTCCTCGGGGAGTAAAAGCCTTTTTAGTCCCTGAGGAGTAAAAGCCTTTTTAGTCCCCGGGGAGCAAAAGCCTTTTAGGTCAATTGGGGGTAAAAGCCTTTTTAGTCCCTGGGGAGTAAAAGCCTTTTTAGTCACTGGGGAGTAAAAGTCAGCTTTTGTGAACCTCGATTATAAGCAATCTTATGTATTGAAATTATTTTTTGGTTGATTTAATCGTTCGTGGCTTATTGTTGCATTATTTTCAATATTTTGAGATTATGAAGGTGTAATGTGCAGTAACACAATCGTAATAGAAACACATAATCGTGTAAATAGACGAAATAGTCGAATCAATTTCTAAACAGATGCTTATTTGCGTTGGAAAATTAAAAACAAGTTGGTTATTATCATTTTCTAACTTAATTTGTTAACTAATATGGCATTATAGCAAAAATTTAGTTCATCACTCGGGAAAATAGTATATTTCATCACTAGAGCGTAAAGTGACTCTTTCCGACTCGTGCTCAGGTTTTACGACCGAGGTCAGAAAATGCGCGAGGGTTGAAAAGGCAATTTTTGCCCGTGTATTTTTCGTCATATTGCATCAATAATTAGCAAACTAAGCTAGAAAATAGAAATACTTTTCATGTAACGATAACCTTCCAAAACGGCTTCCAGCTTGTTTTCAATTCTGCTGATGTTAATAAGTAGTTGTTTGGTAAGTGATTAGTAAGTGAATCTATTACGATTGTGTTACTGTACATGTTACCAACCACAGACTATAGAATGTAATGTTTACTCTATAGTTTGTGATTATAACATAGATATATAGAACTATTGACAAGAATTCAACAATAGCTAAAACTTTACCTCATTAATCAATCGATAAATCATTTCGATCCACGTGATTGCTACAATCAAAATTAAAAACTGTGTAAAACGGCTTATTTTTACTCCCTAGGGACTAAAAAGACGTTTAACTCCCTAGGCAGTAAAAATGCAGCTTTAGACCTGCAACGCACGTATAAAGAATTCCTGTGTTTTTGCTGCAGTATGACAACAAATTTATTTTCAATCCTCGCTCATTTTTTCAGTAAAAATTAAGCTCGGGTCGAAAATGGTCACTTTACGCCCTAGTGATAAAATATACTATTTCTACTTCCTTACTGTTTAAGATGTATTTCATGTAACGATACATGTGAACACTTTAACCTTAACTAACTTAACTAGGCTGTTTTCTGTCTATTTTTATGGGGATATTTACGTTTGTTGTGTTGGCAGATATGTGTGTCCGAGGGAAGTTTGTCGTTATTCGGTTGGTACCACTGCTGCAGCCCAGTTTATCAGTCAGTCGTGTGCGAGCAGAGGCAGCGGTAAGATGTGTGGACGCGGGAGCCAGCGTCGAGTTATAGTGGTATTATGCTTCCTCTCCTACCAGTAGCACTGGCCGTCATCATACTAGCTGGAAAAGTAAGTGTCAGCTGATAATTTGACTGCAATTTCTATTCAATTTGCTGCAATTAGAGTAGTCATTCGTATTTCTTTGTTCTCAAAGTATGGTAGACCCTGGGATTTTTCTGCAAGTAAACTGTAGTATCATGTTATTGTATATAGTATTACCTGTTACATTATTGTATTGTATAGAACCTATATATTAGTATTATGTACAGTACAGTAACAATTGTAATTAAATAACTCAAAATTATGTGCAATAAACATGTATGGTCATTGTTATAATACTGATTAACTTACATATTTAGGGGTTACATTATTTATTGTTGAAGAGTAACAAAATATTTTAATCATTTGAATTTATTGTTAAGATTTTATAGAAATAACAGTTCATCAAAACTTACTAGTAATACATTTGAGGAGATTCTTTTTTAGTGGTACATATATTATATTGTATATTAAAGTTTGGCTTGAATATACAGTTACAAACTTTCTAAAATAACATTGATGTATGTTAAACGCACATTTATTTATTTCAACATTCTTGGTAAAGCCTTAGAGCCTTCGTTGAAAGCTCATTATTTATTAACCTAATAACCATACTGTGTATCATTTTCAAACGTTAAAGTGTTAATGCAACATTTAATTTAACCAATACAAGATAACTACTGTACTACGACGTTATTTTCCATTTTCAATGGCTATGGCCTATTATTTGTGTTTAACTAGCTGTCTCTATTCCTGGGTTTGCTGTGGCATAGTTTATGTTTCTCGTCAATAAATCACAAAATCCATATTGGACTCCATAATTTTCCTTTTAATATCAACTGACCATAATACTATGATAACATGAAGACTACGAGAGTCGGATTGATTTGCTCATAGGTTAATTGGGGTGATATTTTCATGATACTGTAGTGGTTACATTAAATGCAGATGTAAAAAGCAGTTTTTGAGAAGGACTTTTGATGGAAAAGCATATAAATACTTTTTACCTAAGAAATTGGGAATATCTTATTAGGGTATAGCGTCGATTAATGAATAGCTACCATATTTACTTTTCATGATTATACAATTTTTTAAGATAAATTATTTTATTTTCTGTGTGATGAACATTAAGACCACATCATATACTTAAAAAAATATTCAATTTTGATCTGTTATAAATATTCTGTGTATTAGGGCCTAACTTTGCTCAAATTGTATGAAAAATAATAATTTCAATTTTTATTGCTTGTGGCTATTTGTGAGAATATAGAACTTTCTGGAAACAGAAGCAGATCATGTAAAATAGATGAGACTTTATTTGTAGAATCTCCTTTGAACCGACCGACCGTATAAGCAAGCACGTGTCCCATAAGCAAACTAGCATTGTGCGAGTACAGTTGTTTAAGTTTGCTTAATTTAGCTTCTTGGGTAAGTTTGTTTTATAATTTGATACTGTAATAAGAGTCCGTGATGTGATAATACAACTGCTTCATCCGCTTAATTGCAGGTTATTTTTATTTAAAATTCTAGCATTATAACATTATTGTATTTTTAGGGCTCATGTTTAAGTTATAGAATCCTAATGAAGAACAAGATAATAACAATCCAAACAAGGGAAAGAAAAATTTTTAGCTGAATACTTAAAGTAATTTAGCATACAAAAAAGTGAAGAGGGAGCTTTATTTAGCCTATAAATGAAAATAAGCAAATAAGTCAAATAGATTACTTACGATTTCGCAAATTGAATCAATTATATTTGTCTAATAGTCAAAACATTCATTTTTCCCACACTACAATCAAAATATATCCATTAATAAGCAAACTAAAACATTTTTACTTTTTCTCCATAACAATAACTTTTCAATTAAAATTTACAGTTTTCGTTCTATTTTCTCCGTAATATCGTATAAACAACGTTTTAATATACAAGGTTGTTGTTAAAACCTCCATAACATAACACCCTCTTCCATTTACCCGATCTTACTGGCTCGCGAACTGATTCAAGTTTATCCAGGCCTGTAGGCTATATTCGTACCAATTTTCATCACAATCGGACGAAAATTATAGGAGTTATCATGTTCACGTACACACATATACATGTATATACATATTTTTAAGAATTGTTGTTTTTGGCCTCTGAGGACATCAAAACGAAAATGTAAATTCCACGTCTTACTGTACTACCTATGACAATAGCTTATACCCTATAAGAAAAATGCACATTACTTGGAAATACTCATGGTATCCTGGTCCTTTAAAGCAGCTACAAGGTAATTTTGTGACAAAACGTAGGGCGTTTCCAAGACGAAGCACTCTTGACGTATACCGTCGTATAGTCGTCAGAAGGGCTCGTGTTGATCTAGTATCTCTATCAGAGTGCCCCAGTAAGATATCAGTCCTACATGCTGCATTATTCACTCCCGATCAGCCTTTGCTGACCCCACCTCTTTGTGATGATAATACCGGGAAACTTGTCCAGAATTTCCCTTCAACCACTCAAGTCCCTTTATATGAACATCGGGGGATTTTCCTCGTCACGTTGCCTGTTTAAGATTTACATCTCCAGAGCTAAATCTGGATTCTATCCTAGTTTTGACAGTCCTCGTTTTATATTTTGATTAAAAGTAATGTAAACCCTGTCTATCTTTATTGTGTAATTTGTAATTCTAAAGCAAGATTAGGTTATACGATTTCTAAAAGTGTTATACTAATGAAATGTACGCAAGGCATCCTATGGTTAGCAAATTAAAATAATTGCTCTCGATTTTGTTAAGGGGGATTTTTTTTTATTAGATTAACCCACAGCTATTAAAATTCAATAAAATGTTTGGCCCTACCAGACGTGATGATGTGAAACGTGGCCCTACCACGTTTAAACCAGTGAGTGATGTGTGGTTTAAAAGTGTTCAAAACTTGTCATGAGGCATAAAGAATAATGCAATATATTTTACCATTTATATTTAAGGTTATCAAAGGTTTAACATTAGGGTTTCAGGATAAGGTCATTAAATTACAATTCACGCTTAGAATAGCCTAGTTATAAAGAAAGGTGGTCTGTAACACTACCTTTAAAGCTTCCTATATACGTAAAATCAAAGACTGAGCGAAATCCTAAAGAAAGCTACCGTTGTATTTGCCATTTACCTCTGCGCTAGACCATAAGCTTTAGTTACATCTCAATCACACCCCCAATTGTCAAAGAAAACCAACATAGTTTATTAAATATATAGGTTGGAAATAAATCAAGGCAGCATAGTGATGTAATGCTGGATTCCATTTTTATTTAATACAAAATTTAAATCATAAAAAAGTAAATACACTGATAGTAAAAGTTATATACGTTTAGGACAGACGAACCAATATTTCAGTGTTTCGTCATAAATTATTTTTCTGTGGTGGTAAGTTGACTTAATTCAAGGTAAAATTGCTTTTAAATTGCTGCCTTTGGGTTTCGTAATGCTCCTATTTTGGTTGGAATTAGTTCCTAGATCTTTAAACGTCGTGGAAACTTCAATTAACCAACCTCGATAAAAACCCCTGCAATAACGCTTCCATTAACGTTGCCTTTCTGCCTAAGCAAAGCTAGACCGCTAGTGGGATTTGAGATAAGTTTCTTCAGTTTTCTTTTCACGCAGTCATAAAAACCCCGAACGTAAAGCAAATTCAATCAGAGGTGTAAGGATAACCGCTAGGAGATTCAATCAGCTTCTAGAGCTTAGGTGAGGACGGATATTGGGTATTGGAAGTGGAGGAGTGTAATACGTCCTGGAACTACCTTCCTGAGGAAATATCTGTGAAAGCCATACAAGTAAAAGAAGTAACTTTTTAGTGAGAAAGTCGTGTTTCACTTAGCTAAATTTGAAACATTTTTGCAAAACTACTGATTCGATATTTGTTTGAGGGTTTTAGTTATACACCAAAACAAAAAAGGAGGATGTTTTTGTTTCTTCCATAAATTCTATTAGTGTAACCGTAACCAAGTCTGGACCAAGTCTTTTGATAAACCTTAAACCATGATTAACAAATACAAATTCCTAGAGATATTTGAGGGTGTTTGCGTGTTTGATAAAGATTCACTTGTTTTGAATCTTCATCATTTATAAATGTGTTTTGAATGTTTAAAAATGTTTGTAACCATTCATGAAAGGGTGTTTCTTTGTTCTCATGAATGTAGGCTATGATTGTCTGGTTGATTTTGGAATGTTATTTAGTTTAATTAGTTTGGATAAAAGTATACGATGGTTCAACTTTCAAATAAATGCAATTACCGTATTCTAAATAAACACAAATATGTTGTATTTACAAGTAACTTTACAGGAAAAAGAAACGTGAGCTTACATGGAGGGTGAAAGGCTTTGACTGAGTTAGGAATAATTTTGAAAAGATTTACATAACAAGAAGGCTTTCCCTGGCTGCATACGTAATCTTGTGAACTTACTATCTACGAGAATGATACTGTAGGCCTACACTGTATGTAAGAAAATTTAAATACCCCCTCAAAATCTGCAAAGTAAGTGAATTGCCATTTACAAGATTGGATTTTCGCTTGTAAATTATCTTGTCAGATGTATTTTCAAATTTAATAACATTGATTTTAATCCGTACTTAGGTTTGTGTTGTTCAGGCTACCTACCGACTACAACTCTGGTCCGGTTATGATTTTAATTTAGTATGACTAAACCAAGTGATTTGGAAATTTAGATTTTTAATGGCGATTCTCCTTTGAAACTACAAAAGTAACGGAAATTCAGATTTTTAAAAAATTGCGCTAATGATAATGATAAAAAATTTGTATGCTACGTATAAGTCTTTTAATTGTATACTGAATTATCTAACCCCCAAATCTGTAAAGATTACGGTTCAAAAGATTGAAATTGTTGTAATTTACCGTAAAATAACATAGCTATTCCCACCGCTTACTCATAAAAAGTATGTGCCAGTTTGCTGAAGCCGTTTATTCAGCATTATTATTTCATCACGAAACTATTTTCAATATGTTTAAAGAACGATTTGTTGCAACTAGCTTGTTT